GGGCAGGTGCAGCCCTGGAAGCAAAGCTCGTGTTTGTTCTGTTTTTCTGCCCGCTGTGCGTGCTGCAGAGGAGTTGCTCCCCTTGAGAGCGCTGCTCTGTACCAGCTCCTCTTCAGAAAATTTGTGCTCTTAAACACCCTGTGCAAAATCCGAGGGGTGCTCGATTACCAGCACGACACGCACTTGAGACTGCTGTGAAGTGTGGCTTTGGGTTTACTTCTTCCTTGCAGACAGCCTGGAGGTTATTTGCATGCAAATATAGCGTGAGTTAGTGATGCCAGAGAGAGAAAAACACATACGGGCTCGTGGAGCGCGGTCGCCTTTGCTAGAAAGTGTCTTTTTTAGTCTTCCATGAGACGGCAGCTGCTTGTCAGGTCTGTGCTGACAGAACTTTGAAGCACGCTTCAGTAATCTGTCTGCATTTCTTTGCTTCCCCTTGCTGTTTCCAACATGCTAAAAATCATCAAAACAGTGAAATACTGTCCCGCGGCTGCAGGAAGAGGGATGAGAATGTGTTCCCAGTATCCAATCATCTGCTTATTCTGCCTGTTCTTAAGAAAAGAATTTATTGAAGCAATTTATCCTGACTAAATGTGATATAAATCTGAGCACATGTATGTACATACCAGTCATATTCCGTAGTGAACGAGCAGCTAAATCTTTCTGTAAAGAATGAGTGAATCCTCTTGACACTTTGCAAGATCAAGTAAACTGAGGGTTTTGCAGCGTGTTAGTCCCCAATTTTTTTTAATAGAGCTGCTTGTTATGCTATCAGAAGGAGCTGGCAGGCAGCCTGAAACGCCGCTGGGTTTTTGTTTTGTTTTCCTGCCTCTGTTTCGCTTCGGGTTATCAAAACCCCGAGAAGTGACAGCTGATCCATTTCTTTAACTTCTCAAACAGCTTTTATCTGCATCAGAAGCACGAACTTTGGGGTCTGCCTACCTCGTGTTGTTCTTACTGGTGAAGGCAGCAAGCTGCTTAAGGACGGATCCCTGACCTGTGTTAATTAAAGCAGCACAGCATCGTCTGCCCTGCGAAATACAGCAGTCTCCCTCTGCGATAATTATGCTACGTGTTGAACAATAAGCTTTGTTTGTTGATGAAACAAATCCATCCCCAACCTCATCCCACACGCTGGAGCTTAAACGTTCGAGGGCAATTTAAAGTCTTCCAGCACCAGGCTGCTTCTGGCAGCAAGGGGCATTGCAACTCTCCTTCAAAGCTCGGTGACTTCGCTGCTGCCTCGGTGCCACAGCTCTCGCCTTGGAGCATCGTCATCACTGACGGTTGCTGACTGCGGTGTGGACTGGCAGAGGAATTGAGGTTTGGGGTTTTTTTGGGGGGAGCAGGCTCCAAGCATGATGGCAGAGCCTCCTCGCTGGCGTACCTGGCCACAAGGACTCCAGGAGGAGCTCCCAGGCTCTCATGTTGCCAGCTCTCAGGATGCTCCCTGCTATTTACACCCCCAGAGTGCTGCTCAAACACTAACCTGGGAGCCCCCACAAGTGCAAACTTGTGCCCCTCGCTTTGGAGGCAGGAAGCAACTCGTCGAAGCCTGCACGTGTCATTGACTAAATGCAGACTAAGAAGGCTGGAAGCGATGTCTCTTCTCCCTCCAGCGTGATGGACAAAGCTGCCTGCAGCTCCTGGGAGCCTTGGCTGTGCCGAGTGCTGTTAGACACATCCTTGTCCCTTAGGGGCAAGGAAGAGAGGCACAAAGGAAGATTGGCTGTTGGGAGGGGTAAAATAAGCCCCAAAATTGCCCAAAAGAGCAGTTGATGGACCTTCGGTCGGTCTGTATCCCTATACAGGAGTCTTACCACCTGCTGTGTTACACAGACAGTAAAATAACTAGTAGTTTTCTAGCCGATGTGTCCTTCATGTCTGATCTGATTTCTGTTATTTTCTTACAGAAAAAGTATTAATTGGGTAACCTTCTGTTAGGACTCCGTAGTAAAGGCTCAAGCCCTGTCTCTTTGACTCCAGCTTGCGGCTTTCTGCATCACTAACTGAAGGTTTAGACACGATCCTTCTGGACCTCAAGTGCTGGTGATAAAATCTGTTTCGAGAGTTTTCTGCTTTCATTCTTTGCAGCGTCAGGGAGTTGATCTGAGCAGTGGTTCGGTGGTACAGGAACATTTAACCTCCTCGTCTCTCCTTGGTAGAGGCTGTTTTTACATGTAGAACATCCTCAGCTCTCTGTGCCTTCAGAGCAGGCGGTGGCAGCTGCTGGGTTACCTCCGGTAGGATGCAGCAGGTGCACCAAAGCAATTCCACTTGGAAGAGATGCAGTCGGTTGTGGAAGGATGCAGGTGAGGTCCCTGCTTGTTTAGCAGCAGAAGCCACAGTGCAGCACGCCCACTACTCGAGTTCCCCGTGGGAAGCTTGGGGGAAGTTCAGGATGGTGCCAACTCCTCTTTTTTCACGAGTTCTCATTGAGACCCATCTCACTGGGTCACCTCAAGGCTGGCCTTCGTCAGGATTTAATCTGCTAGCACAGGGCTGGTGGCACCCTCGAGTTCTGCCAGCCCCATCCCAGTTCTGGGGGGTTTTCCTGGGGGGCTGCTGGGCCGTTCCTGGCCGTGTTCATTGCCTGTATTGTGAAGTTTGCCCTGTGCTAGGGAGGTTTTGGCCGCTCGCCCATTACATTTGTGAGAGAGCTATTTATCCTTTGTGAGCCCGTGTTTGCATAGGCCCTGGCGTTTTGCTTAATAAATCCAAACACGGCCTGGTGTCGTGGACGTCTCCCTTTTGGGGGAGAAGGGCTGGCAGCTCCTTGCTGCTAGCTTTTAATTGTTGCTGGGTTGTGCCATGGCCGAACCAGGGCTCGGGGTGGGGAATTCCACCTCGTGTCGCCACCCACTTCAGCTGTAAGCATCGAAAAATAGCCTTTTTTATTATGAAGCAAGATGTATATGTGTGTCTTTTTTACGAAAAGCAAAAGGGGGCTGTTCTCTGCAGCCCGTGCGCTCGCCCTGTGCCGTGAAGTCGCGTTCTTCGGACACTTTCTCATATAGCTCCTAAAAATAACAAGTCTCCCCACCCTCCCGCCGCCGCTCGGCGCGTGCGTGCGTGCGTGCATTCATGGTTAGAAATGCAAAAGGCTGGCTAAAAGAGCCTGTGTCTCCGTGAATGCCTTCTGGCCGCGGTCTGGTTTCGTTTCTGCTCTTGGCTGTAGCAGGCTGACATGCGTGGCTGGAGCCAAGCGCTGAACTCGGAGGAGGAGATGCTGGAAGCGACGCGAGCAGCCAGAACGTGCTCGTGCAGTAAACCCCCCGAAGAGATAGCATTTGGTTTATTATGGCTTTTTAAAATCCTGCTGTAAAAATATCAGTGGGTGGAGGGAACCATTATTTCTTGAATTTGAGGTGGTGGGGGTTACTTTATTTACTCTTAGTTTTTGTTTTTTTTTTTTATTAATAAGAATAGCTTCACTTGTAGCATAATAGGACTGAGTGTTTTGTTATCCTTGGCTATAATCTGTGATAAACTACCCCTGCCACCAGCCTTGTAGTTTACCCACTAGGGAGCCAGATTATTGCCTTGTAAAACGGAGCACCACTCCTATAATCCCTTAATTAATTAAATGACAAATTTTAGCTCTCTCCCATTGAAAATATAACTTGTACGTAGAGAGGACTTGGATTTATTTGCTCGCTTCTTGCTTGTGCGTTTTTCTTTTTTTTTTTTTTTTTTTTTCCTTCTGGAGATTGTCACCGTCTCTGCTCGTGTGTCCGTGCTTCCTACCCTCAATCTGAGGGGAGGGTGAAGCAGCAGCCTTGACACCCTCCACCTGTGGCTATCGGGATGTTTTGTGCATCTTTGCTGGGCTTGGGCACCTCTTTATGAAAGATAAGCGTTGTCCCCGTCCTGCAGGAGATAAAATATATAGAAATACATAGACTGGGCAAAGAAGACCTCGAGAACAGCTCTGTGGAGAAGGACTTGGGGGTCCTGCTGGACAAAAAGCTGGACATGAGCCAGCAGGTTGGCCTGGAAGGCCAACTATGTCCTGGGCTGCATTAAAAAAGGGGAGGCCAGCAGGGAGAGGGTGATGATTATCCCTTCTGCTCTGCTCTTGTGAGACCCCACCTGGAGCACTGTGTGCAGGCCTGGGGCCTCCAGCACGAGAAGGATGTGGAGCTCTTGGAGCAGGTCCAGAGGAGGGCCACAAAGATGATCAGAGGGCTGACCTCTCCTATGAGGAAATGTTGAGGGAATTGGGCTCGTTTAGCTTGGAGAAGGTTCTGGGGAGACCTCATTGTGGCCTTGCAGTACCTGAAGGGAGCGTCACTGCGGCCTACTTGAGGGGAGCGTACACACAGGAGGGGGAACGCCTGTTTACATGAGTTGATAGGGATAGGACAAGGGGGAATGGTTTTAAACTAAGACAGGAGATTTAGTTTGGATATTAGGAGGAAGTTTTTCCCTCAGAGGGTGGTGAGGCACTGGAATGGGTTGCCCAGGGAGGTTGTGGATGCCCCATCCCTGGAGGCATTCAAGGCCAGGCTGGATGCGGCTCTGGGCAACCTGCTCTAGTGGTTGGCAACCCTGTGGGGTTGAAAAGATGATCTTTAAGGTCCTTTTCAACCCAGGCCGTTCTGTGATTCTACAAAACTGAGACGCGGAGAGCAGAAAGTGGCCAGGGCCCTCCGGAGAGCCGCTGGTGGGGCCTTGGAGGGAGCCCAGGCATGGACAAGTGCTCGTGTCCTGGCCGGTGGCCCGCGCTGTCGCACTGTCACGGTTCCCAATGAGCCCTTCCAGCCACGCTGCCTCTTCCACTTTGTACGTGAAAAATCAGCCAGGCCCTCCGAAGCCTTACTTAAACTCGGGTTGGATTAATTTCTCTTCCCTGATGGCGATCTAGGGCACAAGGAGATCCTCCTTCCCTGTGATTAATGACGGTCCTGCAGAGGGCTGCTTCTGCTCTTGAGATTTTTAATATTATATATTTTTTTTTAGCTTATTTAACAATTTCCTCTTCTCTCCTTTCTCCCCAGCTTAGCTGAGCTGCATGAAATATGGGAGACGACAGGCCGTTTGTGTGCAATGCCCCCGGCTGCGGACAGGTACGTTTACAGTATACTTTATTGTGAATGTGTCGTTGTGAATCAAAGTGGCTGTTTTATCACTGAGGCAAAGAGTTTAAAGCCGGTGTTTTACGTGATCACTGGAGGTAATCAGATCAGAGGATTTGCAGTGTGTAAATCCAGGTTATGAGCAAGTGCAGGCACTCCAAAGTAATGAAAGCTGCCTGGCTCTGCGGCGTGTTGTTATTCTGTCGGTGTTTTCCCTGAGACCCACACAGCCCAGAGGAAACATGCTGATCTCCCGTTAATGTTTTCTGATAACGTTGCTCATCTTCTTTCAAGGCTGTTTAACCAAAGGACAGGCATTCGCTCTCTGTCAGGATGAGTTAGCTGCTGTGGCATATTCTGTAAAGCAGCTGAGAATGTGACAGTTGATGGTTCGTGTTATGCGAACCCCAAACTGCCATGGACTATTTTGGGCTCACCAAAAAAAAAAAAAAAGAAAAAAGACCCATTGTGAATTTTTTTTTTTCCACGGCCAACTTGCTGGGGTTGGCTACGGCCTTGCAAAACTTTTGCTGGCTTTCTTAGGGCAAACGATTATCCTTGAATGAGTCACATCCCCTTTGCAGCAAAAGGACCCTTCTTGTTGGCGTGCCTGCTGGGGAAGGCACCTTTTTGTTGGATTTTGATGAAATTAGTGCTTTCCCAAAGCCCAGTTTGGGGTCTCTCGGTGGCGTAGCATCTTGGTACCTTTCCCACCATAGTAACGGGAGGGACAGGGGGATTGTGCAACCGCTGTTGGGGCCAGTTTTAATGGGATTTATTAGGAACCGGGGCTTCTGTGGAAATACAGAACTGTACAGACTCCAAGGAAAATCAGGTTTGTCTGTTCCGAAGCATTTGAACCTCTTAGGGTGGAGGGAGAGGGGAACTGTGGGTTTTCATTAGTTAGTAAGTGGTCTACAAGCACTTTGTTTTCCTGTCTGCAACCACTGGATGCCAGGTTGCCAAATTGTTGTGGCTGTGACGCATTTGGGAGGTCTGACCGATCCCAGGGTGGTACTCCTGTCCCCCACATGATTCTTTGGGGTATTTAATCCTTTAGTGCCTCTTGTGGGTCTCTTAATTGGAATTAAAGATAATTCTGCATCCCCGGGGCATGTCTTTGGAGACTGTATGTGAATACTGTGACGCATTTATTTTTATAGCGCAGAAATGGGTCAAAAACCTCATCTGCAAACTCTTGGGGACTGGGGATATTAAAAAAAAATACACAGTTACGACTCCTTAGCATTTTGGTCATTCTGGCACTAGTCTCATCTGAAGCATTTTCTATCCATTGCAGGTGATCTTCTTTTTTTTTTTTTTTTTTTCATAAGCTGCTTTTTATCTTGAACTTCTTTGCCTGTGAAATTGTGCAAGTCATTTATAAAATGTATTAGCTGTATTTGAGCACTTAATGATGTGAGCACTTCAATCATACAACCTTAAAATCGGATTCAAACAAGCAATTAAGGCAAACAACAATGTATTTAAATTTAATCTCCCACAATCTCCCACAAATGACATATAAAGGTGGTTGCTTCCTCCTTTCGCTGTTCCAGACTGCTGCTTATGGGTAATTCTGACAATTCTTCATGTTAATATTGAAATGTTAGAATCCGGGTAATTCATACCGGTATGATTCATTGTGATCTAACCTGACCTCGTGCACAGTTTCCTAGAACGTCCTTCAATACCTGTTCAAACCAGAGCATGTATTAAATAATGATGATCCAAGCTTGATTTAAAATATTTCCAGTGATGGAAAATTCACCACAGCCCTCGGTTAAGTTGTTCTAATAGTTAATTGCTCTCTCTGGTAAGGAAAAATTATGCCTTATTTCCAGTCTGAACCTGTTCAGCTGCAGCTTCCAGGCTGTGGATCTTATTAATTTTTGTTTCTTAGACAGAAAATCCTTTCTATCAAAGGTTTGATGTCTGTAGGTGTTTACTGACAGGTCAAGTCACCCCTTAACGGTCCTTTGGGCTAACTAAATACATAGAGCCCCAAACCTCTCCCTGCAAGTCCTAGTATCTTGCATGCATGTTTTTTTTTTGTCCTTTATTCTCCGCATCAGCTTCATGTTGAAGCTTTTTAGAGCCTTTACAAATTCTGCTTGCCACTAAAACGCAGCGGTACCAGCTGGAAGGATGGTGGAAGGATCAGCCTAAATCAGTGTTCAGTGGACAAGTGGAGTAAAATTGGATCCTCGAGAAGAGCCAGACAGGGAAGTGCAGTTGGCTGCTTCAGATCTGGATTTATTTTTAATATTCGATGTTGGGGGGATGATGGCTGCCAGCAGCTGTCTGCAGGGCTTGAGCTCTCGAGCACGTGCTGCATTGTTTCCCCAGCAGCTTGTGGTGCCTTTTGGCACTAAAACCTGACCCTCGGCAAGCTGCCGTGGATCATCCCATCAAAAATGGCTTATTCGTGTGGGCTGATGTTAAAGTGAAGCCTTAATAAGGGTCAGAGGTGGCTGCACCTCTCTCAGTTTATTCCCTTGTTTCCTAAAGATTGAAACGCTTGTCTTCAAACACAGGTGTCAGGGGCAGTGAAATCCGCAGGATCCCAACCTTCCTACTGGTGCTGAATGCCTCTGGCACCCGTGAGAGTCAGCAGGATGCAGACTTTTTGAGCTTTTTGGAAGGTAACTTGATTTTCACCCCAGCACACAGACGGTGTGTTATCACTGAAAGCACGGGAGGACGTTTCCCAGCCCCAAAACGAGCCAGGCTGCGGCTGGCACTGGAGGAGACTTCCTTGCAGGTTTTTTTCTGATCCTTGAAGACCTCTGTGTGCATCTTGTGTAGGAAGAAAGCTGTTGGGAAGGGAGGGTGCTGTTGGCTGTTGAGCCTCTCTGCCTCTTCGGTCATCACAGTCATCGTTTTCGGGCTCCAATGCCTCTGTTCCGTTCTCTCGTCTCTAAACCTTTGACCCCGTGCCTGACCCGCTGGCATGTTTTGGTCCCTGCAGATTCTGCTCTGTTGGGTATTTCCCTGTTTGAGGGGTGTGATCTGTTTTTGGTGGGCTGCTCCCATTGCACAGGGAGTCCCTGTTCCCATGCCACCGTGGTCCCAAGCAGGCTGCGATGGGCTTAAGGCTTTATGATCAGCTGGGGGAGCGGGCACAGGGAAATCACCAATCCTTCTCCTCTCCCTAAAATCAGTGATCTGCCTCCTGCAAATGCTGCTTTGAGACATACAGTACGTGGGAGGCCACGGGAGAAGGGAGAGCAGAGCCAGGCTAATTTGAACAGGAGACTGCAGGCAATTACTGGGAAGCCAGTGGAGATTTTCCCACTTCGGTTTAAAGGAAAAAAAAATAAATCTGTTGCTTCCCAGTGTAATTCCTTTGTATCATTAGCTGGTTCTTCCCCTCTATAGCTAGTACCAGCCCTGTCTGCTGTGCTTTTTGCCTCTTTCCTGCTTTCCCTTTGTCCCTTCTATGTAGAGAAGAAGGCCATAAAGCGAATTTTTCAGGGAAGTGCGGAGGGGGAAGGGGGAGCAGCCACCAAAAATAGACGGGCAGGTCTCGCTGTGCCCTCCCGTATCATCACAAGCAGTGGGCTTTCAGTGGGCACGTAAACATGTTTTGGTTGCTAGGTCTTTAATGGTGTTATTTTTGGATTCTGCATGCGATCGCTTCCCAACGGCGAGGCTGCTGCGACACAGCTGACTTCTAAATGCGCCGCATATACTGCTTTTAAAGAGGATTCTTCTCAAGGTCATTTAGCCGCTATCTGCTCCGAGAGGACAGCTGGCACGTTTTTCCCTGGCCCCCTTCCCCTAGCCCCCTCTGCACTTCGACGGGGCCGTGAGCCCCGCGCTGCTGCCTCGAAATACCCAAGGGAAGCGTGGAGCTGTGCCCCGAGTCAGGCTTTCATTGAACACCTTGGGTGAAACTAATCTGGAGGTGGTGCGCGCTGCTAATCGTTAGCAAAATCTCCTAATCCCATTTAAAACACTCTGAGTGATGAAAGACAGCCTTGGCGCAACCCGGGTGTGAGCTGTAAAGCAAAGCGTTGCCGTTAAAGTTGAAAGGTGTTAACGAAGCCTGGGTAATGATACAGCTCTGACTCATTAACACGGGGTAATTAAAGCTTCGGCCAGCATGCTGAAGGCATCCAGAGCAAAGGGCTGGGAGGAAGGCAGGGGCTTCGGCTGGGCTCGTGCTGCTTCGTTGCTGTGATCTGGTGGCTGCAGGGGGAAGTCGCTCACCACCTGGGTTTGTTTCCTCCCTTGGAAAGCTGTGTTGAAGGCTTCTGACTGTGCCTGGAGCCTGATCCGGGCAGGGAAAGCTGGTGCTGCTCCGACAACTCCAGGAGAGGAGCAGAACCTCTCCTGAAGGCTTGGGCAGCGCTGGATGCGGGAGGTTTTATGAAGCATCGTAACAGAGGGGCCATCTTTATTAATAAAGATATTTTGCCCGCTCCTGGTGCCCAAACTAATGAAGGGCCCATAACCCTGAATATATTCTACTGGGAGCAGGACTTTGCCTGGCCCTTGCCTCCCCACTCGGTGCCATTCCCCTCTTTATAAGTGACACAAATCATCGCTCGGGTCCTAATTCCAGCACTACAGTTATACAGGCCATTTCCTCAAACAATCGTTTGCTTTTTAAACCCCCCCTTAATTTAACAATTTATTCCCCTTAAACCCACGCCGCTGAGGTGATGCTAGTGCAGTGTCCGAGAAACGCAGAGCCCAGAACTTTCACGAGGCCAGAAAATGATTTTTCTTCTTTGTGGTTTATTGTATCCTCTTATCTTGTCATATAATAGAAATAATGTTTATGGCATTGAGGCCTCAGCATCACTTGGCATTTAACCAACCTCAAAAGCAGTTTATTGCTTTGTATACTCTGCCGCCATGACCATTATCCCTTAAATCTCTATTGCTTTGTAATATACGAGGCAACAAATGGCTCCGGCGATTGGTTAAATGCGGGACTGAAGCTAAGGTGGGTTTTGGAGCTTGTATAATCCAAACGAATA